CTCTAATTGTTTTTCTCATTTTATTTTTTAAAAGAATGTTTATATCTGCACCTATCCAAGTCTTGATTTAATATGTCTTGGTAGACTGACTCCCAGACAGCTTATGTATATTGTACATACTTTGAATGGAACTTTCCCTTTTTATTATTTCCTCCTGAGTTTTTATATTACCATATACAAGTGCTATCACAATTTTTGTTGATGAATTTTACGTCCTACTATTTTACTAAATCTATTGTCTTAATTAGAAACCCTCAGAAAATCAGGAAAGAAACTAAGTTTCACGATATCATCAGCAAATAGGTAAATTTTTTATTCCTGTTTGGATGTGGTAATTCATTTAATTTCTTTTGTCTTTGTATTGCTAAAATTTGTGTCAAATAAGTTAAATTTGATCTATGTCAAATAAGTGGGGGAGGGCAGCACCTTTACTTTGGTTTTTATTAGGGAAAGTTTCTAGTGTTTCCTCATTGTAAATAATGCTATTAGTTTTAGATATATATCAGCTATCATATTTTGATGGCCCTTCTATGCCTATGCTTTATAGGGTTTTTAGCATAAGTAAATGTTGCATTTTGTCAGGGACATTTTATGCACATGTTGATATAATCATATGGTTTAAGGGTATTTTATTTCAATGATTTATATTGATTTCCTAATGTTCAACCATCTTAAATCCTTGATGTTAATCCAATTTAATAACAGTAAACAACGTTTCACATACATTGCCAGAGTCTTTCTGCCAGGATTTTAAAAAAAACTTTTGAATCAACATTTTTTAGTGATATTGATCTATAGTTTTCCTTTTTTTTTTTTTTAAATCTATCCCTGGTTAAGTAGCAGGGCTATATTTTTCTTATAGAAGGAGTTCAGTAGAAAGTGTTTTCTTGAAAATAATCTGTGTGGCTTAAGTAGTAATTGTTCTTTAAACATTTGATAGAATTCATCTGTAAATCCCTCCAGACCAGGGTTTTTCCCTCTTTGGTAGTTCCTTTATGGCTAATTCAGTTTCATTTTCTGTGATTAGGTAAAGATCTCTAAATTCATATCATATTTATTAACTGGAGTATTTCCTATTCTTATTAGGTAATCTTCCATTTCCTTTAAATGCTCAGTTTTGCTAGCAAGCATACGATTGTGGAGAGAAGTGTTTCTAACAGTTCTGGTAATAACAGCCAACTTTCGAGTTTGCAAAACACTTAATATACATTATTTCATTTGATCCTCAAAACAATACTGTAAGGTAGGCGCTATTATTACCCTCGTTTTGTAGATGGGAAAGCTGAGGCCGAGAGAAGTTATGATTTTTTTCAGGGTCACACCCAAATACTGAAAGCAGTATTTGGACCCAGGTTTTCCTGACTCCAGGTCTAACACTATCCATTCTGCATACTGCCTCATTCTTAAAGAAAAGCCTGCACAGAATAGAATGCAAAAGAGGAGTCTCATTAACACTAGCTATGATGAACTTATGTGAACAAGATCCCGCCGTGATCACAAAAAAAGTGGCTATAACTCCAGGATCCATAAAATCAGAGTTGAAAACAAATTCAGAAATCACAGAGAAGAGAGCCTGGGTAAGACAGTGGCACTTCGGCCAAAGAGAACGTACATTATGAGAGAGGGGTCAAGAGCAGCAAAAGCTGCTGAAAGCTCAAAGAGGATAAGGAGCAAGAAAAGGCCAGATTGAGAGATGCAGTCATTTATAACCTTTGAGGGAACACTTTAAGTAGACTGCAAGGGACAGAGAATCGAATGGATAATGAAGAAGCAGAGCTAGGGAGTGTTGATGACATTCTGGGAGCTTAACAGTGAAAGAGAAGAGAGATAAAGGGTTAGGGGAAAGTTTCTGGTTTTGGAATGGAAGAGAACTAAGCATATTTGAAGGTAGCAGGAAAGGGAGGAGATGAGGAGGAGGGAGAGACAGAGAGAGACCGAAAGTGAAATGAAGAAAATAATCAATGGGGCAAGCTCCTGGACAAGATGGTGAGGGGATGGGATCAAGGACAAAAGTAGAAGGGTTCCAAAGACCTCAGCTATGGGGCAAGAACTCAACAAAAAGTGTTGGGAGCACTGGAAAACAGTCTAGTAGAGACGAGGCATAGACCAATATCTCACATCTCACAATAATATCTTATGCCAAGATAAGCTCCAAATAAGTACATGATTTAGACATAAAGGGTGACATAAGCAAATTAGATGATCATGAAAGAAACTGCCCATCAGATCTATTGACAGGGGAAAATATTGTGACTAAGCAAGACACAGAGAGGTTGATAGGAGGTAAAATGTACAATTTTGGTTACATGAAATTTAAAAGGTTTTGCACGAACAAAACCAATGCAGCTAAAATTAGAAGATAAGCAGGAAATGGGTGGGGGAATCTTTGCAGCAAGTTTCTATGATAAAGGTCTCATTTCTAAGATATATAGAGAACTGATTGAAATTTATAAGAATAAAATCCATCCCCCATTGATAAATGGTCAAAGGATATGAACAGGCAGTTTTCAGAGGAAGAAATCAAAGCTACCAACAGCCATATGAAAAAACGCCCTAAATCACTAAATAGAGAAGTAAAAAAAAAACCCAAAAAAGGCGACCCTGAGGAGTTATACCTTAAACCCATTAGATTGGCTAAATTGACAAAAAAAAGAAAATGACAAATGCCAGAGGGGCTGTGGGAAAACAGGTACACTAATGCACTATTGGTGGAACTGTGAAGTGATCTAACCATTCGGGAAAGCAATTTGGAACTATGTTCAACAAGCTATTAAATTGTACCTACCCTTTGACCTAGCAATATCTCTACTAGGTCTATACCCCAAAGAGATCAAAGAAAGAGGAAAAGGACCCATATGTAAAAAAATGTTTATAGTAGCTTTATTTGTGGTGGCAAAGAATTGGAACGTAAGGGGATGCCCACCAACTGGGGAATGGGTGAACAAATTATGGCATATGATTATGATGGAATACTATTATGTTATAAAAAATGATGAAAGGAATAGTGTCAGAGAAACCTGGAAAGATTTATATGAACTGATGCAAAGTAAAGTGAGCAAAATCAGGAGAACAAGTTATACAATAGTGACAACATTGTAAAGACAATCAGCTCTAAAGTTTCTAAAGACTTAGGAACTTTTATCAACACAATGACCAAGCACAATTCCAAAAGACTCAAGATGAAACATGCTACTCACCTCCACGTAGAGAGCTGATGGACTAAGAAGAAAGACTGAGGCATTTTTTTATTCTTTTCTTTTGCTCTATTTTATTTGATATTTTTTTACATAGCTAGCACAGGAATTTGTTTTGTATGACTATACATATAGGCAGCTAGGTGCCACAGTGGATAGAGTTCTAGGCCTGGAACCAGGAAGACCCGAGTTCAAACCCAGCCTCCGACACTTACTGGCATGCGACTCGTTTCCTCAGCTGTAAAATGGGAATCTTGATAGCACCTACCTGCTAGGGTAATAATGGTAAAAGCACTTAGTACAGTGCCTGGTACTTAGGAAGCACTATATCAATGTTAACTATCATCATTATTATTATTATTGTTTTTAATGGGCTCTGTTATTCTTGCCTTGTCAACGGGTAAGGAAGGAGGGAGAGAATATGAAACTGAAAACAATATAAAAATTGAATTTAAAAACGTAGAAATGTTAACCTTTACAAAGAGAAAAGCCAATTTATCCTCTGGGAGTGGCAAAAAGAAAGAGGGCCCACATGATGATGTAGAAAGAGGACTAAAGGGCCGAGTAGGAGAAGGAAGGAGTCACACAACAGGTGCCCTCGATTTTCTTTCATTTACAGATAGGGCCTGTGGCCCAGAAAAGGGAATCGACTAGCTAGGTCATACAGGTTGTATCAGAGCTGAGATTTGAATTCAGGTCCTCAGATCCCCAATCCAGGCTATGTTCCATGTTGTCAGGCTGCCCCCAGGGGTGAAACTATCTGCTTAAAGAGTGGGGGTGGCAGAGGGGGAGATCTGAGGAGACTGGCAAAGCTTTGGAATAGTTACTGTAGAGAAGCAAACAGGAAAGAAGAGGACTATTGTACCACAGCAAGGACCAACCAATAGATTAGACACAACATGCACTGGCATGAGGATTGTGGGGATGATCCTTGGTTGGAGCTTGAGTGTGTAAAGGACAGTAGGACAAGGGACTAAGGAAGTGGGGCAGAAGGAGAGACAGAAGGATAGTGGGTGTGTTCAACATTCATGGGGGCTTACCAGTTTTGAATGATGACAAAGCACAAGACAAGGACATAAGAGATTCATAGGTGAAAAACAAGGTAGAGTTGAAGTAGTTGACTTTAGGGGCAAGAACCTAAAGAGAAGAAAGTGAGGCCAGAGCAGGGGTGATGGACTGGGAGAACAGGGGAGGTCAAGGTTACAGCAAGAATGAAAAAACACTTAGGAAGAATAAGGCAAAGGGAGAGATGGAAAGTTGATCGATTATGATCAGAGAAATTAAGAGTTTAAGAGTATGAAGTATGATCGTTTTAAGATGATCGTCAAGTTGAAGGAGTTTCCCCTCCTGAAGGAAAGACAAGACGAAGGTCTAGTGGAGCCAAGTGAACACCTGAAGGGCTAGTGATACCAGTTGGGACAGAGATGGGAGAGGAGAGGGCACATCAAGCCAGATGCTGAACTTCCTTGAGATGGGAAAAAAGAGTGAACCAGAAGCCAGTGGCTGCCACAACAAGGATCTGCAGAGAACAAAACAAATGTGTGTTGTGAAACTCCAAAGAGGAGACTAATGATTTCATTATTTCCTAGGCAATAAGCAGAGTGAGTGAGATCTGTATTCTCTGCACTTTGCACCCACCTGGATGCATTCTATCATAAAATATCATTTATCAAAGTTGAGTTATTAAACAATTTGATCACCCCGAAAACCCCTCGCAAATAATTTCAAGGTGACACCTATAATTTTATGTCTGTGATATAACTTCAGTATTTCATCAAATTATGAATTCCTTAGCATATTCTTTACCTGCATTTCTTGGCCAGTAGAAATGTTCTTATCCAGCTTCCCAATCTCATAGCTTTGGCTATAAATTAAAAAAAAATATTCAATTTTTCCAAATTCTACATGTTCTTGCATGGCCTCAAAGGCATAGGCCAACACTATCGTACAGGAAACTTTTTAAATTTCACACAATAACAGAGACTAGTCATCAATTAGCATATGAACATCGGCAGCACAAAAGCAACCCCTTTCTAATCGATGTAAATCACAATTCCCTTTGAAGATGTTAACTCAATTAAGACTATTATTCTATGATTTTTTCCTTTTAGTATATTCTAATCAGTATTATTATTTTTAAAAATTCATGTTTACAAGAGACTACTTAATGTACATATTTTGACAGACTAAGCAATAGAAATACACAATAATAAAAATAAACAGATGCTTTAATCAGAGGATATCAAACTTCATTAGCAACACTTATTAATTAAGCCTCACAAAACTCCCAAGAGGCACTATGAATTACATTTTGCAATTGAATAAACAAGAGGCTCCCTGATGAAATGACTTCCTCAAGATTATATAGGAACTCTGTGTTACAAGGGGAGGGGGAACATGCAGGACCCTGCCCACCAGGGTCCTGCTTTAACTACAAAGTACATACTGCTATCTAAGCACTCTCACTGGGATTCTGACAGCCTCCAGTGATTCTAGGGAGTAATGAGGAGATTCAGAATTCAAAACCCTCCCAAAAGAAACAGCAAAGGTTGGTTACTTGTAGACTTGGTTTTTCTGAAGGGATGTGTCATAACTTTAGGCTTTGGAAGATTCTCAGCTGCCACTAGAAGACCCCAAATTCCCAAACTTCAAAGTTTGGTTAGACCTCCTAGAAAGAGCCCAAAGCTAGTGTGGTGGCTGTAAACTCCATACAAAGTAAACCCTTCTGTCAAGTTTCTAAACAAGTCCAAGGTTCCGAAGAGGAGTACATTCAAAATCAGAAATAAGAATTTTCATAACTAGGTCAATCACCCCAAACTAAGGCTGAGAAACCTGCACAAAGTGCACCCTCAGTTGGGATGGGAGTAGGGAGATATGGATTATCGTGGGCTGTTCCACACACACAGGTGTTCCACAGGGTTGTTCCAATTTTAATTTTTTAATTTTTCCTCATCAACTAGGTGCTAAGCTCAGTCATCTCACATCACAAAATGCTTATTGGACATTTCAAACTGGATATCTCAGAAATATCTTAAACTCAACAAGTTAAAAACTGAACTCATTAAAAAAAAAACCGAACTCATGCTCTTTCCCCACAAACCTTCCCCTCTTCCAAACTTTTGGGATGATGCTAAGGCATCACCAGTCTCCCGGATTTATAACCTTGGCATCATCCCAGATTCCTCACTCTTCCCCATATATCCAATCAATTGATAAACTTTTGCTGTTTCTACCTTTACATCTCTTGTACCCAACCTCGCCTCTCTCTACTCATACATCCTGTCTATTCTCCCTTTGCAACATCTCTTGAATGTGCCCCCTTCTCTCCTCTGAAACTGCCACCACCCTGGTGCATGCCCTTATCACCTCATACCTAGACTTTTCCAGTGGATCTGCCCACCTCAGGTCTCTCCCCACTCCAGTTTGCCCTCCATTCAGCTGTCAAATTGATCTTCCTAAAGATCATGTCACCCTCTTACTCAATAAATTCCAGTGGCTCCCTATCATCTTCTGGATCAAATAGAAAATCCTTTGTTTGGCAGGTAGAGCAGAGGAGGGAGAACATTCCAAGCATGGGGGACAGCCAGTGAAAATGCCTTCATTAAGCTCATATTCTAATGGAGCAAATAATATACAAACAACTGTGTACATATAAGATATAGATCTCATACATACATATATGCAAGTGTGTATAGTTAAGTAAAAGTTAATCTCAGAGGAAACGAAGTAACACTGGGGGTGGGAAAGACTTTTTTGTAGAAATCTTGCTCAGATTTCAACTGAGTCTTGAAGGAAGCCAGGAGGTGGAGGTGAGGGGGCAGGGCATTTCAGGCTTGTGGGAGAGTCAGGAAAAAGCCATAGAGTCAGGAGACGGAGTGCCACGTGCAAATTGTAGTTAAATGGAAGGATAACTCAACAAGGTGACCTCCAAAAGGTGAACAGAGGAGTTGGCTTTATTTGGCACCCAAAGGCAGCAACGTAGCTAATGAAAACCTCCAAAGTTGACTCTGTTAACACTTACCTTTCACACTCTGCGCCTTCAACGCAGAGGTAGACACATTGGAAAATATGGTTCAGATTAGGAAATGAAAGACGTCAAAGGCTTGGAGATGGTTCAAAATGCTTACCCTATATCAAAAGAATACTTTCTTCAAGAAGAGAGTTGAAGTCATTTCAGAGTCAGCTATCAGCTATCTGTCTACTCAGATCATGAGCAAAGATTAAAATGATAAGCAAAATAGGAGAAAGAAGAAAGATGACAATACACACAACCACAGCAGCTCCACGGGGACCTATTGAAGTAAGCTGGGGATTTGCAAAAACAGGAAATGGGTCTCAGAGGTTAAACATCTCCAAGAAATGGCAATAATCAGGATCTAATGATTACTGCAGCAGGGAAGCCCCCAAAGCCCAGAAAGAGCTGTGGCCAGGAAATAAGATCTCCTTGCTCAGCGGGGAGGCCTGGTAACCAAGGGCAACCCCCATTCAGAGTACAAGCTTACTTTCAAAACATCATACAGGAGGATGATGGAAGATTACAAGTAATTATCTCAGAAAACCTCAAAAAAGCCCAGAGTGGGGCACAAACCTACAGAAAATTTGACCTGAGACTCATCTAAGCTAAATTACTCTTCTCTCTCCCCCTCCCCAAATCCTCTACACATATACAAGAGCATTTATCAATGGTCCAAGCTGTTATTCCACCTCTGATGCAATGGGGTCACTCAGAGCCCAAGGGTTCAAACAAATAATGCATTCAATAAAAATATAGTCAAATACCATCACCACCATCATCCCATAAAAATCATTTCCCAAGGTGGTTAAAAAATTCAAGAAGATATCAATAGATAAAAGCAAGTCAGGAGGTTTCCTGGAGGTGTCAGGAGGTCCCCACCCAAGTCCTAGAAACTGCTTCCGTGTTCTTCTTGCCCAAAGAGCCCAGTTCAATCCACCTAAGGACAAAGCTAGCCCCAACTGCCCCCTCCTCTGCATCTCTGCTTCTTTGCTCACAACAGTCCTGGTTGGTAGCGTGGGAATGTGTAGAGGTGTTATAACACTCATGGGCTCCCCAGCTCCACCATTATTTTGGCCCACAATGTCGATGCAAATGGAAAGAACAAATAGAAGTGAAACAAAACATCTGCCAGAGTTTCTACATTGGTCTGTTCTCGCCAGGGACAAGAGTTCCAGTCCATCGCAGCTGCTTTAGGGACTTCTGAGGCCTCCATTGATTAAGGTAGACTGGTCAATGATATGAAAAGTACAAAGCTTTTACTCAGTATGTTTTAACTCACGCAAGGGAAGGCATACAGATTCATTCAAGACATCTAGAGTCATGTCCTCTCAATGGGACAGGAAGGAGGCAAGAGACACAATTTGCTCTTTAAATAGATGTTTACTAAACTGGCATAATAAAAGCACTAATAAAACCTGCCCTCTATAGACATGGGGTGCACTCTCCCACTAATAACACATAAAGAATCTGTGGGAAGAATGGACATGAGCACAACGTGAGAGGGTACATGTAGGAAACCAATCACAAGTCCAGAATTAGAGGGCCCCAAAGCCCTTTCTCTCCTCATGTAGTCCTCTTTGCAGGGTTACTTCTCTCAAGTCCGTAACCAATTCTCTTTCCCTGCTCCCAGGGGTCATCCTCCTCAGAGGTCCTTACAGCCTCAAGAGCTACCTCTCTGCGTCCAAGTCTGTCTGAAGTGGGGTTGTGGTCATTGCTTCCTCTTCTATGCCTCAAATGCTCTTGAACTTATCCTTTAACTACTAGATAGAGTATCTCCCTCTGGGAGAGTAGCTGAGAGAAAATCCCTTTCTCCTTTCCCTGCAGAGGTAAATAGCTGGATTCCTTCCCACTGCTGGCTCTCTCATCAGCCTCTGCCTATCTCCAGGGCTTAACTATTTAAAGCTACATGAGGAGGTGACATTGTCCCTTCCAACTTAAGGGGTTGCTTAGACTTCATAAAGGGATAACAGGGTTTTAACACCTTAAAACCTCATCATCTATGATTATATCTTGTGACTATATCAGCTGGAGGGAGGGCAAATAAAGACTAAGGCCCAGCCAACCTGTCTCAAGAAAAGCTAGGTTCAGAAAAGCAGAAGTTTTTCAAGTGATCACAATGGTCTAACTGCTCCATTTACACTAACACCTCCATAACTGTTGTACTAGAAGAGGAAGAAGAAATATCATTCAAGAAAAAGTTGGGAAAAGCTGCTGGACCTAACCAGACATATACAGACTACACTCTTGCTGTAAGCAACACAATATTATTAACACCTCTCAGGGATTAATTTCCAAGATCTGAAGGAGAGGAAGATCCCAACATTACATATTTTTAAAATGCAGTTTTAAAATCTTCCTCAAACCAAGAAGACACCAACAATTACTGGCCCATCCATGTATTACTTTCTCACCTTTAAAAAAAGTCTTTGAGAATAGTTTGGTTCATGCGTATGAGTATCTTTGAAGGGAATAGACAGGTTCTAACAGACTAAACTCTACAGCAGACCACATCTTCAGTGTCACACAATAAAAATCTCACTATGTGTACTGATTAAAAAACTATTTGATTAGGTAAATTAAGTAGTATAAAATACAGCTTTAAAAGCTCTCCTCTAGCAAAGTACTGCCCACACATTAGCATCATATCCTGATGCAGTCACAGAGAACTTTGTTCAGTGATCCTCTATTTAAATTAAATGTACGTAAAACAGTGAATAACACATCTGCCCAAGGTGTTCAACATGGAGGACACACTCTACAGTAATAAAAATCCAAATGGAAGAGAGATCCATATAGATAGTGAGGTTCTCGAGATGTTTCTGTTTGCAGAACGTTAAAGGGCCACATCG